ATCCAAGCAGTGTCCAGGCAGATCAGAAGCATATCAAAGGCTTGCTCTCCTGCTTCTGAAGGCTTTCTCCATTTTAATTTCCCTAACGTTTGGCAACCACCAGTCTGTTCTCTATGTCCATGATTCTGTTTCTGTTTCATAGGTAAGTTCATTTCGGTCATATTTTGGATTCTACATATAAGTGATATCACATGATATTTGTCTTTCTCTCTCTGACTTACTTCCTATAGTGGAAGTTTATCTTATTTTGTGCCTGTTAATTGTCATACAGGCCAGAGTTTCTGAGCCTTGGCCCTCCTGACACATTGAGCTGGATGGTTGTGGGAGCTGTCCCATGCATCATAGGATGTTTAGTTGCATTCCCCACCTCTGCACTAGATGCCGGGTAGCACTGTTCCCCCCTACACACACAGATATCTCCAAACATTTCCTGGTCTTCCCTGGTGGTAGGGGTGGGGAAGTTGGTGAGGTGCAGAATCACTCCCCAGGAGAATCACTGCTTTAGACCAAAGAGCATAACACGCTAGAGAGCCCTGGGGGGCAGTACCAAGCCAGAGCAGTAATCTTGACAACATACAGGCAAGATTTCTCTAAGTCTCCACTCCTTATCACAAGCATAGGTAGTGTAGACCTGACGGTTTAGCTCATTGGAAATATACAATGCCAGAGTATATTGGTCTTATGTTCTTGCCCCTAGGGCATGTGTCAGAATTATCCAGGAAACTTTAAATTGCACCTAGATCCACAGCAGAATATTATTACTTCATCAATACTTTGAAAACAAGGCATTTACTAGAATAGTTGATTGGTAATATTATTTAATAGGGTCATGAACAAGTACACATTACTATATGACAAATATAATTTTAAAGAACATTTTAATAACTATTTTAGTACAATTGGGTGTTTTTGGGGGGCAAAAAAAAGACAAAAATTCCAAGAAGAGCTGGGATGAAAAATGTAGAAAAGAAGAATTTTATTAAATGCCCACAGTTGCTCAATTACAAACTTCTGCTAGAGTTGACCACTTCTAAGTACTTCACCATAGTTATAGGTGATACAGCAGGCACCAAGTGAATTTACTATCCCCAACATCTCTAAGTCTCCACTCCTTATCACAAGCATAGGTAGTGTAGACCTGACTGTTTAGCTCATTGGAAATATACAATGCCAGAGTATATTGGTCTTATGCTCTTGCCCCTAGGGCATGTGTCAGAATTATCCAGGAAACTTTAAATTGCACCTAGATCCACAGCAGAATATCATTACTTCATCAATACTTTGAAAACAAGGCATTTACTAGAATAGTTGATTGGTAATATTATTTAATAGGATCATGAACAAGTACACATTACTATATGACAAATATAATTTTAAAGAACATTTTAATAACTATTTTAGTATAATTGGGTGTTTTTGGGGGGCCAAAAAAAGACAAAAATTCCAAGAAGAGCTGGGATGAAAAATGTAGAAAAGAAGAATTTTATCAAATGCCCACAGTTGCTCAATTACAAACTTCTGCTAGAGTTGACCACTTCTAAGTACTTCACCATAGTTATAGGTGATACAGCAGGCACCAAGTGAATTTACTATCCCCAACCAAAGATCAGAAAGTCCTTGCAAAAACTGATTTATAACTCTTCTATAGGAATCTCCTCAAAATTAGGGCAGATTAAGCTGTCCAGAATTTTCTCGATTTTTCTTTTTGAACTCAGCTATTTTCCCATTTCATGTGACTCAATATTGTAATTGTTTGCTGTGTTCACCAAATATTTCTAGCTCTGATTTCTAGAGCAATGTTAAGATTGTACTTCACAACCTTTGGAATTATACATGGCCATACATCTTTTTTTGGCAATGAAATGAAACAAGTGATGTGTTTTGGAGTAGTGAGTAATTCATTATGTCCTCTTTTCTCTCCCATAGCATTTATGAAAGCATGTATTGAGAGGATAGCTTCTATGGCTCCAGATTTGAGTTCAGTATACAAGATCAAGTTCAGCTGAATGTAATAGAAAAACTCGAAAGGCGTAGATAGTCACTCTGAGTATGGTGGTTCTGCTCTGTGAAGTGTGCAGGGATCTATGGTCTTTCTAGATTACTACTCACCTGTTGCTTGAATGTGGCCATTATTCTCATGATCCAGGATGGCTGCTACAGGTCTGCCACCATGTTCACGTTCCAGGTCGAAAATGGAATAAGGGATGAAAGGAAGAGACAACAGACAAAAGGAGCAGCTGTCTTTTAAGGAGGTTTTCTGAAGCTGCCACACAAAACCGGGATTTGTATATCATTGCCCAGAACCTAGCAACATGGCTGTGTCCATCTGCAACGGAAGCTGGGATGTATAAATCTTCACTTTGGATAATTTTGTGCCCAGCAAAAACTCAGGAGCTGTATTTCTCTTCTAGACCCTTCTAGAAGACATGTACTAGATAGGTGACTAAGAGTCTCTGCCACAGTAAACATATGACCTAAGTTAGGGCAATTATAATGGTCCATGCATTCCACCACTTCCCTAGTAGCTCAGACAGTAAAGAGTCTGCCGGCAGTGCAGGAGATCTGGGTTCAACCCCTGGGTTGGGAAGATCCTCTGGTGGAGGGCATGGCAACCCACCCCAGTATCCTTGCCTGGAGAATCCCCATGGACAGAGAAGCCTGGCGGGCTACAGTCCATGGAGTCGCAAAGAGTCAGACACGACTGAGCGACTATGCACAGCACAGGTCCTCCCCAGTGCTGGGCTCGGGATGGGCATGTAACCCATGCGTGCTTCAGTGACATCTTTCTCTGTGGTCACGGTGGTGATTGTTTTTTGCTGAATTGTTTTTAACTTGAGCTCCTGGGGAAACGTCTTTCCTTTTCAGTTCATAAATCTGAAGACACAAACTAAAGCTAACATTCTAAGAGAAACAGAAGTGAGAGGAAAATGGAAGACTTAGGTTGTTCTTGATTTCCTTTTCCAAGCTTTTTTGAGACAAATCCACCCTTGTCCTTTCTCCAGTTTAGTTACTGGGCCAAGCAATCCCTTCTTGTTTACAGTGAGGAGAAGCTGGGTGCCTATTGCTTGCAACCAGAAAGTACTAAAACAATCGTCTACCTCTCTGGGTTGTTGTGGGGAATATATGAGTGAGTACACATAGTTGTTGCCATGATGCCTGGCACATAAAGGCCCTGAAATGTTAACTCTTAATGATGTATTTGAAATAGCACAGAGTAGATGAAATTTGGACAGACTTTCTCGTTTTCAAAAGTCTCAGCTCAAATGAGGTCTTGCTTATTCCCCGGGAAGATCCAGGATGACTGAGAATTTTTTCTTCTTGCTCCCTATTCCCCATCCTGGCAATCATCCTGCTGCTCTCTAATTGTTTGCAAAGTCTGTTCCCTCTTCTGATAGCCTTTGAACTTCTGGAAGATTGGAACTGAGTCTTATTCAGCTTTAATACCTCAGTATCTACTATTCTGGCATGGTAGATGGTCAAGAAATATTACTAGAAAAATAAAGATCTGAAGAGTATTCATTATTAAATATGGAAATAATAGCAATCAGCATTTGTAGACTACATGCTATATCCTAAGTGCCAGTCCAAGAACTTTGTATGATATCTTCACAATAACTCTAATACACTATTATTTAATATTACTCCATTTTACAGATGAGCAAACTGATGTCAAAGTCATACAACTCCTGAATGGCAAGATTTCATTCCAGGCAAACGGACTCCAGAGCCCTTAAACTTCAACCATTATATACACTGTGAAGGTATTTCATTAAATACAGATGGAATTAAATCATGTGATATTAGGGACAAAGGAAATTCTGAGATTATTGATTTCCATCATGAAACAGATACGGAAACTGAAGCTAAGACTTGGAAGTGTCTTTGTTCAGGTGATTTATATAATTGCAGAAACGTATCTGCACAAGGCTCCTGACTCCTCACTAGAATTACTTTTGCGAAGTTTTTACTCCTCCTTTGCACTTGCACTAGCCCTTTCAGGGTTTGTTTTGGAAAAATAACTACCCCCAGGTGGAAACCTGTGTAGGTATGTAGTTATGTGTTAGATACCATTTAAAGTCAAGGAGGTAGGCCTCTATGGGTCTCACCTGTTGAAACAGGTCACGGGCATATGAGAGAGGACTAGGGCATAGAAGCTCTTACTCATCATCAGATTTCAGCACAAACTTCACATCCTCAGTGAAGGCTTCCCTGACCTTTCCAAGGTCAATTCTATCTGCCTAAGATCTTCGTAGAACTTAGCATGGTCAGATGAAATTATATACATTATTTCTGAAATGCCTGGTTAATGGTCATCTCACTTGTTACCCTGTAAGTTTCTTGGGGACAAGACCTATGTCAATTTGTGTTCTTCCTTATATTCCAGGTGTCCTAGCACACAACAGATGCTCAAAAATATTTGCTGAATGAAGGGGTGACCAAATGGATGAATAAATAAATGCATGCATGCAGCGCCACGACACTCATTCTATAGGTTGCATGGGGTAGATGCAACCCTTATATATTGTGATCGGAGGGGACCCTCAAGAGGACACACACACACCCCACCGATCAGAAAGCCCCACCACAAAAGTCGAATAAAACACCCACTTGGAGAGGGCTTTGAGGCTTCTCCGGAGAAGGGGAAAGAGACACAAAAGGTGAGCAAGCAATTTTCAAAGGATGCTTTCAACTCCCTGGCCAGTTCGTGTGTGTTTTCCTCTACAAAGTGTTTCCAATTACTGTGGCACTCTCGGTATCTGGATCCATCTCCAGTGAATTCCTCTGCGGCTCCTGCCAGACATATGGGATCAATCAGGGCTTCGGCGCTGGTGCGCTTGCTGCGGGAATGTTGACAGGCTGACAGACGCGGGGTTCTGGTGTCATGGAATCTCCGCGAGTCTTTGGCTTGAACTCGGGATGAGAAGGAGAAGGGGGAGGAGAGAGATAGAGGCAGAGATAGAGGAAGGCGAGGGGAGAGGGAGAGACAGAGGAGGGAGAGGAGGGAGAGGAGGAGGGAAGCGGGAGATTCTTCTTGACTGCCCCCTTGCCTTCAAACATTTTATAGGCTTCAGGGAGAGCGAGGAGGAGGAGGGGAGAGAAAAGACGGGAGCGAGAGGGGTAGCGAGCGCGCGCCTTCCTTCCCTAACCCTCGGGCTGCCGGAGGAGTCTGGGCTGTGTCCCCAGTGTCAGATGAGAGGGCGCTGAGGCTCGCGGCCGCCGTCCCACGCCCCGCGCCGCGCACGCCCCTCGGCGACCCCGGCGCCCGAGCATCTCTCCGCGCCGGGCAGACGCCTGCGCTCCGGGCGGCCGCTCCGTCTCCAGCGCAATGTGGGCGCGCCTGGCCTTTTGTTGCTGGGGTCTGGCGCTGGTTTCAGGCTGGGCGACCTTTCAGCAGCTGTCCCCGTCGCGCAATTTCAGCTTCCGCCTCTTCCCCGAGGCGGCGCCCGGAGCTCCCGGGCGACTACCCGCGCCGCCCGCATCCAGCGAGGACGCGGCGGCCGCGGAGAGCAAAGTGGAGCGGCTGGGCCAGGTGTTCCGGCGACGCGTGCGGCGGCTGCGGGAGCTCAGCGAGCGCCTGGAGCTCGTCTTCCTGGTGGACGAGTCGTCCAGCGTGGGCCAGGCCAACTTCCTCAGCGAGCTCAAGTTCGTGCGCAAGCTGCTGTCCGACTTCCCCGTGGTGCCCACGGCCACGCGCGTGGCCATCGTGACCTTCTCGTCCAAGAACAACGTGGTGCCGCGCGTCGATTACATCTCCTCCCGCCGCGCGCACCAACACAAGTGCGCTCTGCTCAGCCGCGAGATCCCGGCCATCAGCTACCGAGGCGGTGGCACCTACACCAAAGGCGCCTTCCAGCAAGCCGCGGTAAGGTGCCCTTCCCGCCCACCACCGCCTGCCCGGCTGTAAGCCGGCTCAGCCTCGGGCCGGCCACAGCACCCCAAGTCAAGCGTCCCCATCTCCAGAGTCAGAATCATACCTATCCTGTTGTGGGAGGGAGGGGGTTCCCTTGGAAGGATGGATTTTAAAGGCTTAAGGAGATGTCAGGCTCATTAAGTGGTCTTTGAGAACTCTATTAGGAAGGAGTCCTTGAGATCTGTTCACGTTCACTGTCGTAGGAACAAACTGTGGGCAAACTATAACAGGTGAGTATGTTTTAGGAAGTGTCGCTAAAGGTAAGAGGTGGAGTGACCTGAACATTTCCCCAGTTCTTTGGGATGTGATTTTATACTTTCAATATGCACTTCGTTGCTCTGAGTCCTTTACCAGACTTTTAAAGGAAGGAAGTCAATTTCAGATGCTGGACTTTTACTTTGCCAAAATTTAACTTTTTCTGATTACAGTGTAATGCGTATTCATTTGAATAAAATTTAGAGCATATAGAGATGCTGGGCACACGATAACAAGCCAGTGTGTGTGGAATGAATGAAACCAGAGGAGGAAAAGGGGGGGGAGACCCTCTAATCTCATCACCCTTAAAAAGCCGCTGTTTACATGTTATTGAGTATTTGCCCAGTATGCACATCTGCTCATACTTTAAAACAAACTAGTGTCTTGCAGTTTTGTAGCCTACATTTTTCACTTGTTATATCATGAAATGATCTATATCATTATATATCTAATATAATGAAGTTATTATATACCTACCTTACTTGGTAGTTTATTATAGTCTATAATCTATTTGACCTGTCACCTCTTGTTGAACACAGGTTTTTGTAAACATATTTTTAGACCCCTTTGATTACTTCCTTAGGAAGTATTTCTGTAAAGTTGCTAAATTAAGAGATGTGAACATCTGTAAACTACTTGATACATTTTGTCCAGGTCTGCCTTGGGTTGTATAGATTTACATTCCCATCAGCAGAGTTTCCCTCCCCCACCCCCACCCCATAGCTCAATTTGTAAAGAATCTGCCTGCAATGCAGGAGACCCGGATTGTATTCCTGGGTCTGGAAGATCCCCTAGAGAAGGAATATGCTACCCACCCCAGTATTTTTGGGCTTCCCTTGTGGCTCAGCTGGTAAAGAATCTGCCCGCAATGTGGGAGACCTGGGTTCGATCCCTGGGTTGGGAAGATTCCCCTGGAGCTGGGAAAGGCTACCCATTCCAGTATTCTGGCCTGGAGAATTCCATGGACTGTATAGTCCATAGGGTCCCAAAGGGTTGGACACAACTGAATGACTTTCACTTCACTTCAGCAGAGTACCACAGCAGTAATTTTGCCACAGGATCACCAGTAACATGTGCCAATATTTTTAATGTCTTTGCCTATTTGGTAGGTGAGCAGAGGTATCATTTTAGCAAATTCAACTGTTTTCATTTTATTATGGAATGAGTATTTTCTAATACATTTACTGGACATTTGTATTTTTCCTTTCATGATTACCTGGTCATTGTTTTTGACCATTTTGCAACTATGTTTGTTTGTTGGTTTGATCATTTGTAAAATCTCTTCATATAGTAAGACTGGTAACTATTTGTGTACATGCTGCAAATGTTTTCCCAGTTCACTGACTTTTGATTTTGTTTATCACAGTGTGGTTAAATGGATGGTTTAAATTTGTATAATAGTCAAATCTATCAAACTTTGTGTTTAAGATCCTACATTTGCTTATATTCTTAGCATGGCTTTCTCATTCCCCATATCAGAGAAGTATTTTCCCATCTCACAGTTTAATCTTATCAGGAGCTTATTTTAGTGTATGGTATGATAAAGATATCTAACTTTATTTTTTAATAGTTAACCAGTTTCCCCAGCATCATGTGTTTACTAGCCATTCATCCTTTTCCAATTTAATTGAATGCCTCTTTTGTCATACACTAAAAGTTTATGGGTATTTGAGCTTCTCCCAGCTTTCTATGAATTTTTTATTATCCTGGATGATAGGATAGTTCATCATATTATCTATTAATTTTAAGCTTTGCAAAAGTGATTTAATTATTATAACTTTACAATCTATTTAAATACCTGATCATGAGAAGTCTCCATTTTCTTATTTTTTCTCTGTAAGTCAATTCTTACATATTTATTACTTAATATGAAGTTTTAATTCATTTTCATATATTCCAAATGAAACCAGCCAAGATTTTGATTTCAATATATAAAATATAGAATTAACTTGGGCATTATTTACATTTTATAATTATAGTCCTTCCAAGTTAAGACTATAGTATGTCCATTTTTAACCAGTTCTTTTCATACCCTTCAATAAAGTTGTAGGTTTCTAGTAATTAAGTCCTGCATATATTTTTCAAATTTAGACTTAAATGTATTCTATTCAATATTGCTATCATGAATAGCATCTTTTCAAATTAAATGTTAAACAATTATTCTTTTTAAAATTAAAAAAATTTTATTGAAGTATAGTTGATTTACAATGTTGTGTCAGACTCGGTTATACATATATTTTCATATTCTTTTCCATTATGGTTTATCACAGGATATTGAATGTAGTTCCCTATGCTATGTAGTAGGACCTCATTATTAATCCATCATATATATGCTAGTTTACATTTGCTAATCCCAAACTCCCAGTCCTTCCCTCCCTGACTTCCCTTCCCCATGGCGAACACAGTCTTTCCTTTTATATCTGTGAGTCTGTTTCTGTTTCACAGACATGTTCATTTGTGTTGTATTTTAGATTCCATGTATAAGTGATATCATATGGTAGTTGTCTTTCTCTTTCTGACTGACTTCACTCAGTATGATAGTCTCCAGGTCCATTTATGTTGCTGCAAATGGCATTATTGCATCCCTTTTTATGGCTGAGTAATATTCCATTGTATACATGTACCACATCTTCTTTATCCATTCATCTGTTGATGGATGTTTAGGTTATTTCCGTGTCTTGGTTATTGTAAATAGTGCTGCTATTAACATAAAGGTGCATGTATTTTTTCAAATTATAGTTTTGCCTGGGTGTATGCCCAGGAGTGGGATTTCTGGATCTTAGGAGTGTTTAGTTTAAGGAGCCTCCATTCTGTTCTCCATAGCACCTGCCCTGATTTACATTCCCGCCAGTGGTGGTGGAGGGCTCCCTTTTCTCCACGCCCTCTCCAGCATTTGTTGTGCTGTGCTAAGTCACTTCAGTCATGTCTGACTCTTTGTGACCCTATGAACTGTAACCCACAAGGCTCCTCTGTCTGTGGGATTCTCCAGGCAAGAATACTGGAGTGGGTTGCCATGTCTTCCTCAAGGGGATTGTTCCCAACCCAGGGATCCAACCCACATCTCTTATGTCTCTTATGTCATAAGAGATGTGCAACCCACATCTCTTACCACTAGTGCCACCTATTTGTAGATTTTTTGATGATGGACATTCTGACTGGAGTGAGGTGTTACCTCATTGTAATTTTGATTTGCATTTCTCTAACAATTAGTGATGATGAGTGTCTTATTGTGTGCCTATTGGCCGTCTATATGTCTTTGGAGAAATACCTATTTAGGTCTTTGGCATAATTTTCAGTTGGATTGGATTTTGTTTTGTTACTGAGTTATATGAGCAGGTAAATAATTATTCTTGATGTAAAGAAACATTGTTGATTTTTTAAACATGACTTCTTTATCTAGATGCTTGTTTTTCTCTTTGATTCATTTTTTAAAAACACATTTTGTTTTACTTATAATAAGTGTTTATCTTAGAAGATAAAATAATCAGAAAATTTTCTGAAAATGCACTGTAATATTTTGGCACATGTCTATCTTGATCTTTTTGCAGTTGTCTAGATAATAGGTCAGACACGACTGAGCGACTTCACTTTCACTTTTCACTTTCATGCATTGGAGAAGGAAATGGCAACCCACTCCAGTATTCTTGCCTGGAGAATCCCAGGGACAGAGGAGCCTGTTGGGCTGCCGTCTATGGGGTTGCACAGAGTCGGACACGACTGAAGTGACTTAGCAGCAGTAGCAGCAGCAGGTAATAGGTATATATTCATACATATACATATATCATGTATAAACAATGTTTACCAAAAAAAGCATCATATTGTATATTCTCTTTTTTAACTTAACTTTTCCATCATATTTTGCAGTCTTCTTTCCATAATAAGAAATAGATTTCTACTTTATCATTTTTTATGGCCACACAGTATTCCATTACAGGATGTGCATTTATTTGTATCATGTAATTACCTATTATCATGTATTTAGGCTGTTATAGGCTTCCCTGGTGGCTCAGATGGTAAAGATTCCACCTGTAGGGCAGGAGATCCTAGTTCGATCTTTGGGTTAGGAAGACCCCCTGTGGGAGGAAATGGCTACCCACTCCAGTATTCTTGCTTGGAGAATCCCATGGACAGAGAAGCCTGGCGGGCTACAGTCCATGGATTCACTGAGTCAGACACCCACTGAGCGATTAACATACACACAGGCTGTTAAGAGCAACACGGTAAGACCAAATCTTTGCTCGTATCTCTAATAATTTCCTGAATACAAATTTCTGAGCTGGTGGGTATTATTCCTTCAGAGAAGATGCCTGTTTTTGAGGCCTTTGATATATGTGCCAAGTGGCTCTGCAGAAAATGTGTACCAGATTATACTCCTATATGAAGCGCCTAGGTCCATATCTAGGATGCAGCCAACACAGGTTAGTATCATTTGAACATGACCCTCTAATTTATATGTGAAAAATAGAATCTCATTTTTATATTGCCCTTTCTTGTTAGTGAGGTTGAACTCTTTTTTCATATACTTTTTTAATACACTGGCCATATATAGCTTTTTTGAAAAATTCCTATTACAATACTTTGGGATTATTAACCATTTTTTATTTGAAAGTGGTTCTTTTTCTTAGTGATTTGTGAATACTCTTTTAAATTTTAATAACATTAACCTTTCTGTCCCCAAGTCTACGGCAAGTATTTTT